CGCCCTGTCTGAGGGGCGTAAATTTTCACCCCCCCAGCCTGAGTTATGGAATACTGGCCAAATTCTTGGGAGGAAAACACAACAGCCAGGTTGACTTGGGAGTAAGGCCACAGCTGGACGATGAACGGCCCCTCCCAGAGGAAATAAAAGAGGAGCGAAAGGGGAGTGGAGTTCGCAGGAGACAATTAGTTCTCCGAGACTCCTTGCCAAGTTTTGCAGATATCAGCCTGCCAGCTCTACAAGCCAGATAAGGCCTGTGACTGTCAATCCTCCCTTGAAAGACTTTGCTGGATTTGAATGAGCAAAGTACCTCAAAGAAAATAGAAAAGTAAAGTACAGTGGTACCTGGGTAGTTAAACTTCTTTGAAACTCATCAAATTTGGTACTCAATGCATTGAGAGGCAAAAACTTTGTCCCGGTATTCATCATTTGTTTGGTATGCAAAACACCAGTTAGAACTTGTGTTGGCTGCCTTGTGATTCACTACGTTATTTATGGAAAATAATTGCTTGTTACTCATTGGGTTTTTGTACTCATCACACCTCCTGGCACCAATGAGTACCAAAGTACCACTGTATATGCAAATCTCCTGAAATTTTAGGGAGAAAATTGGAGACACAGCCGATCAATTTCCCTTTCACAACCAGTCAGGTCTTTCCCAAGAGGTCAAAGATTCCCTTCTCAAACCCTACTACGGCCCCAAATGGTTTATCATTCCTGCCCAAGCATCAGCTAACTCCCTTTCCAATAAAAGATAATTGTGTAACGTGTCACCATCACCACCGGCAACCCTTTTGTAATGCCTGAGCAGTTACCCCAAGGTCTCACCAAGGAAGTCACTCATTCCTTTATGGTCCTAATACAACATTTGTAAGTCCAAATGTTTGATTAATTCTGTTCAAAAGCAGGTCCATGTCTTCCCCCTTAAAAGACCACTTTGCAAACACTACTACAGGAACTCTATTCGGTGTGGAAGTGACCCAGCCCTAATACAATACAATGCCCTAATACAACCCCATTTTCTCATACCTTTCCAGTACAGGTGTTTTAAAATCACTAGGAGCATCTCTTTTGCAGTGTCCAAGGGACCCTCCCAGGCCCCTTCCTTATTCCCTAATGCAGGGGTCTCTAAACTTGGCAATTCTGGGAGCTGAAGTCCACAAGTCTTAAAGTTGCCAAGTATGGAGACGCCTGCCCTAATGCAACCCCACTCACTCCTACGGCCCCTTTCTTATACACACACCCTTTGTCATCCCTTCCCAGCGCAGGTTCAAATCCTTTCTCAAATCCTTTAAACTCCCAGAATTGCCAGGTTTAGAGACCCCTGCATTAGGGTATAAGGAAGGGGGCTCCGGAGGGTCCCTTGGACACTGCAAAAGGGCT